TACCTTGCTGTGCAGGAGGAGCACCTACAAGTCAAGTCGGCCTTGACTGACCTCTACCTCGACTCATTCGCCTTTCATGGTCACGGCACAACATCGCAAGTGCTCTGGGCAGGCATTCCAGTCTGTGAGTTCCAATCCTCCTCTCTCCTCTCCCTCCCCTCTCTTCCTTGTCCTCCTCTCTCCTCACCCTCCCTTGTCCTCCTCCTTTCCCTCCCCACTCCTCCCCCTCTTTCACCGCTTCATCCTCGTTTCCTTATCCTTCGCACCCTAGTGCAACTACTCCGATCTTCCCCTTCCTCTTGCCTCAAATCTTCTTCCTCGTCCTCCCCGTTCCTCCTCACCTTCCCCACAGTGTCTCTTCCTTTCGAGAGGATCGGGCAGAGAATCGGCTCTGCTCTTGTCCTCCACTCAGCCAGCTGTGAGTTTCTCCTGCTCCTCCTGCTGCTCCTGATCCCTCCATCAGGTCCACTGCTTGCGAGGAACGAGCAAGACTACATCAGCATCGCCCAGGTACACCATTCCTGCCTCTTTCCCTCTTCCTCCCTTGACCTCAACCTGCTTCCCTTCGCACTTCGCCCTCCCCCATTCCCTCCCTCCCTCCCTGCATTTACCCGTCCTTCCCTCCATCCATCAATCCATCCTTCCCTCCCTCCCCCTGACTTAGCCCTACAGGCAGCAGCTGGAGGACGAGGGAGGAGGATACTGTTGGATATCAGGGAGCGGCTAGCTCGAGAGCGAGAGACGTCTCCTCTCTTCGACCTTGCAAGGTGACAAGCATGCAAGGGCAAGAGGGGTTGCTGACGAGAGGAAAAGGTATGTCAACGACTACGAGGCCCTGCTGAGGATGATTTGGGATGTGGAGGAGAGTCAACTGGCAAACTCCTTCCACTCCATCAGGCAACAGTTGTGATCGCTGGACATTCGCCAATGCAGATTTGTGTGCGTGTGTATTCTGTACAGTAGCAATACAAAACAAGAATTCGGTTCTATTTACAAGACGGAACACATTACAGGACAGGCTATGAGGTCATTCAAACCCTAGATCAGGTTTCATGTACGAGCACGGAGTGAAGACGATTTCTCTCACCACATGTACACTGTTGACTCAGCCTGGGAAGAAGCCTCGTCCATGTCTGTCACACCAAGACAGAAGTTAAGAGCAGTTCGAGCGAAAGCATTTCAACAGGTGGGCAAGACATGTTCAAGATTGCAACAAGATCATTCAGAAGTTTCAGGTTGCAACCAAATGAAAGAAAAACGCACACGAGCAAAGCAGAGGGCAGACATCAACCCTGCAGATTGCAGAACAACAAAAACGGTTTCGCGACGAGGAACGAAAGAGAACCCAACGGTAGACCAGCGGCAGAGAAGCAACACACGAGGTCGAGCAGGTTTAGCAACTTACCTTTCTTTACAGCATTGGCAGAGACCCAGGCTCCTGCTGTGATGGCAGCGGCAGCGGCGGCGGCGAGGAGGGTTGCGTTGGGGCGCGGCATAGTTTTCGTGTTGGGTTTATCGGATAGAGCAAAGAAAGTGTTTTTATAGTCTTGGGATGGGGGGTCATTGTGGGGAATGTGGGGGGTAGTCAGTAGAAGGAGTAGTTTGCTTCACTGTTGTTTCAGAGGCCGGGGAGAAAGGTGGGGTGAATCGCTGGTCATTTAGGGGTAGGGGTGACAAGGGTCGCTATGGGGGTTAGGGGTGAAGTAAACTCTCTCTCTTGGGGGTGAAGAAGGGGTACATTTCAGGCTGAGTGACAGGGGTTAAGGGGACAAGGGGTACAGATACTTACTAGAACGAAGGTATAAAGCGGGGGGTGGGGTCAGCCTGTTTAGGGGGGTCGTAAAACAAAAAATAAGTATTAAAGTGAATCTAGTGCAAAAAAAAGCTCTGAAGCTGTTCGAATGATATTTGAAACTCAAAATACAATTTTATTTGAGATTTAGTATTCAATGAATACTGAATAATATGGCTATTTTTGAAAATTAAGTATCAAAAATATGTAAATATTTCAAAAATAAACTTATTTATGAAATATTTATCTGATATTAAAGTTCCTATGATCGGAAGTTTCACAATCTAGCCCTTCAGCACTTATCAAATAATTGAAAATCATCCCCATAGTTTGAAATAGTTTGTCAAATTACAATCAGCCAACAATACAAGGACTAGTTGCGCCCCCCGGTGTCGGCCTCCATCAGCAACCCCCTCCTCATCGAAACGTGTAACCCCCACCCCTCTCCCTGACTCCGATGACCACCCCTACCCTTGGCAAGGCCACCAACCACCCCCCAGATCACCGTGGCTCCGAGGCCTTCAGAGGTTGGTTAAGGTAACCCCCCGGCACCCTCTCGTTTGTCAAGGAGTGATGTCCTACGGTCGCACGACCGGGTCCTCTAACTTCCTCTACCTTCCGACTCTCCCTTCCGCCCCCCGCAAGTCTCAGGTACCCCTGGTCACGACCGCAAAAGGACCCGGTGGCGGCAGTCAGGCGATGAGCCCGGCGGCCCTGACTGGCAACGAGTTTACGTGTCAGTCAGTGTACGGTCTATCGGAGGCTGCCTGTCACGGGCCGATATTGTCGGGGGCCCGGGCCGCCCGGCGGCCCGGCTGAGCCGGGTCAGCCTCCTCTTTAAGTTACTCAAAGTCTTCCAGTTCAGTTAAAAAGCAGTACGAGGACCGTGACTGTCACACTGACAGCGAGGAGATTCGAGTCGAGGAGGCTTGACCCTGACACTGTCGCACAGGCCACGGCCACTAGTACGGCGAGAAGAGGAAAGACAGTGAGGCCGTCCGACTCTTGAACCGTTCAACCCTCATCCTGCCGATTGCTGTCCCTCAAACTAAATTGATACCTTCACCCTCCTCTACTCTCCTGATCATTTTTGTACTGATTTTTTAAATGAACTTTGAGTAGTTGGATTTCACCGTAGCCTTTTCATTGATTGCAGACTGAATGGAGGAGATGCTTCAGGTTTCGATAACAGGGGTCTGAGTTGATTAGAATACACAAGTTGAGATCTGAAAGAATACTTTCTTTCACTTAAAATATCAGCTTTTGTACGACAAGTACTGCAGTACTATGAAGCAGCACCATCGCACATACAGCATAGTCTGGGAGTGCTATAGACGGGTGCTCGGAGGAATATCTCCGACCAAACACACTCACGGAGCAGAGGATAAAGTACATCATCGCGACGGCAAGACAACACCACGCACACGATTGACTAGGTAAGATGCCAGGAAGACAAAAAGCATCAAAACTCTTGAGAAGGAGGTTGGAGCTTAATCTGACTCAGAATCAGAATCCTTCTTTTTCTTCTTCTTGTCTTTCTTCTCCTTCTTCTCTTCCTTCTTTTCTTTCTTCTCCTTCTTCTTCTCCTGCCAAAGAATCAACGACCCGGCAGGCAATGCAGACAACAAGCGTACCTTTTTCACGTCTTCGTCTGTGTCGCTATTTTCTCGCTCCTTCTTCCTCTTCTTGGAAGCTGGTTCTTCCTCCTTCTGACTCTCAACCTTGGCCGGAGTGCTCTGGTTGCCCGACAGATCCTTGTACAGGTTCTGCCAGTTGGACGGGGTGTTGGCGTTGGGGCGGCCGTACTTGTCGAGCTTGCCATCAATGATCATCTGCTTCTTCGCTTTCGCCTGAGGGCCCAGGCCCCACCTCCTCGGGTACGTGTCCCTTTCCATGATCACGCGCTTGATCTTGGCGACGACGCCATGGTCGCAGGTGGCCATCACAGCGGTGGTCATCTGAGCGATGCCGAGGCAGATAGCTTCGCCCTTTGTGGTGATCATGACGATTTCAGTCCCGATCTCGATCCCGTCCTCGAACCTCAGCAGACCAGGGATCATCAACTTTGCGCCGTAGCAGATGGCGTTCACCGCGCTGTCCTTCACAACAACCCTCTTGTAGCCAGTGAGCAGCCTCTCGAGCGGAAGGATCACGCGGCGAAGGTACGACTCGTCCTTGTACGTGTCGTACATCCACTGGGCATCGAGCACATCGTGCATCGTCATCAGGTTGTCGTGCTCAGTCAGGGCTCCAGAGCGAACACGACGGAGCTCCTGCATGTGGCCACCCACTCCAAGGAGCAGACCGATATGAACGCACATGGTCCTTACGTACGTTCCAGCCTCACAGCTGATCCAGAACACCCCCAGGTTGCGCTCCTTGTCGAATTCGATCATCTTGCTCTCGTAGATGGTCCTGATACGCAGCTGCCTCTTGACGGCAGAGATGAGAGGCGGCCTCTGGAAGATAGCTCCTTTCAGCTTCTCCAATGCCTTGGCGAACTTGTTCTCACTCTCAATGGCGCCGTGGAGGCGAGCAATGGAGACGTACTCCTTTCCTGCTCCCTGCTGCGACTTGACCAACCTCGTGGCTCTCTCAACGCACACGATGAGGCAGCCAGTAACCTTGGGATCCAAAGTTCCACTGTGACCTGTCTTGTCCACACGAAGAATCCTGCGAATCCAAGCGACCACCTCGTGCGAGGAAGGGTTTGCTGGCTTGTCGAGATTGATGACTCCATACCTGACATACTCCAAGATCGGACGCTTCAGTGGAGAGCATCCGTTGGGGATGGGCGTGTAATGTCCAGTGCGGATGTTGAGCTTGTCATAGTTCTTGAGGAGCAGAGGCCAGTTAGAGGTGTCGATCTTCGGGGTGACATCCTCGGGCTTGATAGTGTAGTCGAGCGACTCTTTCTTCTTCTCGCTCTTCTCGCTCTTGTCTTTCTTCCCCATGGCTCCTGTCTATGACTTGTCCAGTGGTTGGGAGACTTCTGACGGCAGACTGTGAAGGATCTCAATAACTTGCAGGTGACAACTATCAACAACCAAATGTCAGAAATCGCAGTGTGAAGGGACGTAATATCCACTGGAAAGTTGGGGAGGATTTTGAGAATAAGGCATAGAGGAGATGAAGTACTGGAAGTGTTTCCAACTGAGTGGGTGCAAGGATTTGACATTTCAAACAATTCGAACATTCTTCTTTCTCTCTCGTACGGCATGCATCATTCTGGTATAACTCAACTGCGACGCTGAGTGGATTCTTTCTCGCATATCTGAATCTCATCTGTCCTTACGAGCCATGTCGACTCACTTCACACTTCTACCACATGGATACAGTCTATCCGAGCCCTGTCTGCCCAACTAAACCATCGGCCCCCGCCTGTCAGAACAATTCCAACGAGATTCGAAAAAGTTAGAATCCCCTTCCAACCCGAACATGTCAGCCCTTCACATTTACTTCTCACATCTCGAACTTCTCTTCGATGAATCTTCTACCTGAGATCACCTACACAGCCTCCTTCTCCATTCCTCTTCCTCCTTCTTCTCCCTCCTCCCCCTTCTCTTCTCCGTTTCTCGCCATCGCACGCGCTCGTGAGGATCCGGTGTGTTGACCCCTACCCCCCATTTTCAGGCTTCAATTCTGAGCACCCCCACCCATGAAAGGTGGCAGTGATATACGAAAACTACCCTACCTATCTCCAGCAAACCACTAACCCCACCCAGGGTTCAAATCAAGGGTTGCTCAGGGATAACTTTTTGTAGCACAGGGTCCAAAGTCTTGTAAAAATTGCATTTTTAAGAGAAGGAATTGAAACCTTTTCCATGACATCCTGAAATTTCTAATAGTGTTTTTAAAAGGGGGGTTCAACGCTCCCAGTACACTTCTCGTTTTTTACCTTGATTTTTAAAAATATAGAATAATTGTAAAATTGGACTTTTGTTCTGAGATCAAAAATCATGTATGAACACAGTACATAAAATAACTTAATATCAATAAAAGCGCAACTCATGGTCACAACATAGTACCGTATTACTGTATCAGGAGGTGGTTGTACCGATCATGTACCGTACTAGAAGATCGTGGACCAGATGCTTTAAAATCACATTAAATAGTTGTAGATTTAAAACCGCACGTGCATTCCTGCCCAATCTGCCTCCGGCGGACCTACAATCTTTTTTAAGTTTACTCAAAGTTAAGTTAAAAATTGATATGGAGTTCCCTCTTCCCCACGCTGACCCGGCACTCAGTGACGGGCCCCGGACAGGTGACGGCCGGGCCTGTCACTGAGTGCCGGGCGACGTTTACAGAATTGTAACGCTACTGTAACGGCTCTGAGTCAGCGAATATGGGCAGAAGGCGAGGAAACGAGAAAAACGCGAGAGGGAGAGGGAAGGAAGAAGAAAGAGGAGGGGAAGGGAGGGAGGGAGAGAAGGAGAGGGAGAGGAGAAGGAGATAGGGGAAGGAGAGGGTGAGGATGGCTGGGAGGGAGGTGGGAGCAAGGAAGAATCCAAGGCACGGACAAGGGCCTTTATCAACACTGTTAGTCAGAAATGAGAGAAGAGTCAGAGTCCGAACGACAAGAACGTCAGAAGATGAGTGAGGAAGCAGGAGGAGTGAGAGGTGTATAAGGTGAAGACCATTGCGAGCAAGAGTGCTCCACTGTGAATGAGACAGAGAGGATGTGGCATGGACATAGTGAGGAGGTGACATTTGATCGCAGATATGTGCAGCTCCATCTGATCCAAACCAGCATGCAAGATAACGAGCATCATTCCTACTCGGCGCCGACCGAGGAGCACCTGGACACATTCCGCAAATTCATCAGCACACAGAACCAGGAGCTGCGATCGCTGGAATCTGCTCTCGAAGATTCATCCACGGATGTGGGCGGCATGCGACTGAACGCTGAGCTAGGCTGACGCTTGTCGTGCAGGTTTGGGATCCCTACCAGGACGTCGTGGGCATCGAGCTGAGAGCTCATGAGGACTGTCACATCTCGACGCTGATAGAGACAGACAGCAAGGACATCTCCAAAGTCCTCATCGTCTTCTCGACCGTGGCAGAGGAGTGTGCGAGGCTGGTGGACGTGGCAGAGCAGAGATTCTTCGGCCCTCTCTCCTGCTACGGGGAGAGGTTTGACAACTCGCCGGTGACCTTGTGAATGGGGCTGGTGATGTCAAAAAGTGACTTGTTCATGTTTCCAGCTGCCCGAAGGAGCTGAAGTCGAGCAGATATCTTCCTTCATCCCCCTCCTCGAAGATCTTAGCCACTTCGCCGCTCGCTGTCACTCCGTGGTGGCCAACGCGCTGTCGCAGCTTGCGGGTCTGTACACCGACGAGAAGAACACCCTGTACAAGTCGTGCTTCAAGGGGACGCGCCTGCACTCCTTTCTCACCCAGCTGGGAGAACTCCTCCGCGTGCTGATCACGCTGGACGGGCTGGTGGGCAGCAACCAGGAGCTGCAGTACCACTGGTCGGAGTACAAGCGCGTGCTGCAGAGCGCTGCGCTGGAGCCTGAGGTGTTTGGGATGAGGCCGAAGAGGATCGCCAAGGTGCTCATGGCAGTGATGCGGCTGGAGGCGGACGTGTTCAACGGCGCGATGCTGCGGGGCTGCTGGATGCAGGACCTGCCGTGGTACCACGAGAAGGGGGAGGGAGAGATCAGAGCCAACAAGACGATGCTGGAGGAGGTCACTAGCACCATTCGCTCTCTCCTCGTCTACCTCTCCGCCCACATCGGAGACGCCACCGAGTCCAACCACCGCAAGTGGTTCGTGGGAGTGGTAGGGCTGTTTGCGCTGTTTGCGCAGGTCAACAGGGGGCGGGAGCTGGACAGCAAGACGTACAAGTCCATCGTCAGCTTGTCGAGCAAGGTGCCGCTCATCGTCCTCTTCGGCCGCGCGTTCTTCGTCGTCACCGACTTCCTCCACGACGCCCTCCCGCTTCCGGCGACCAAGACCAGGGAGAAGGAGCTGGAGAAGACCCGGGCGCTGTTCCTGAAGCAAGAGGAAGCTCTCCTGCAGCAGCTGCAGCGTCTGCAGCTCGAAGTCTCTGCCTGGATGGTCAGGATGGAGTCCAGCTTCTCCCCTAGGGTCGGCCTCACCGAAGTCCTCAGTACCCGCGCAAACCTCCTGGTACAGGGAGTCCTGCTCGCCTCGCAGCTGGGAAACGTGGGCAAGCTGTCGCTGAGCGGGCATCTGTGGACGAGGACGGCGATCCGGCAGTCTAGCCTGAAGCCGCTGATGCAGAGCTTCTTGCTCCTCAAGGCGCTGCAGCAGACCTACCACAGGAAGAGCTTTCTCATCGCTTCCCACCTCGTCCACATCCAGCGTTTCCTGCAGCTGCGCGTGCTGCACATCCTGGACCCGATCTGCAAGGACCTGGAGACGCAGATCGCCACGGCGAGGAAGGGAGGATGGAAGGTAGAGGAGCCCAAGGTGCACATGGCGGCGCTGGTGACGGCCATGTGCGACAACCTCCGAGGCCCCAACACGCGGCAGAGGAGGACGGTGGTGAACCTGGCATGGGACCTGCTGCCGAAGAAGCAGATCAGGGAGGGAGACGTGGACGAGGTGGGTCTGCAGCTGCGGAAGTTGGAGATCCTGGGGAGTCTGCAGGAGATGGTTGGGGAGGCGACGGACTGTTCTTTCCTCCTGTGGAGCAGAGGGCTGCTCCCGCTGTTCCTTGCTGACCTCCGTTCCAACTGGAAGGACGTCAACCAGATCCATGGGCTGATGGCGGCGATGGGAGACGCTGGGAGGCTTCTGAAGGAGGCGGAGGAGGAGGGGCACATCCCGTCGAGCTCGGTCAGCAGCTTCAGCCGCTTTCTCAAGGAGACGGTGGAGTGGGAGATCGTCACGCCCCTGAGCCAGGAGATCGAGACTGACCTGAGGATTCATATCCACAGCGCGCAGATCTCGCAGATGGTCAAGTCAAACCCTCTCAAGAGCGGGACGCTGGACCTCTTCGCGTGCCTGCAGCTGCAGCCCGTGTTTGTGGTGGATGAGTTTGTGAACGTGAGTAGAGGAGGAGGAGGGGGGGGAGGAGGAGGAGGGGGAGGGGAGGAGGAGGAGGAGGGAGGAGGAGGAGGAGGAGGAGGAGGAGGAGGAGGAGGAGGAATGTATTTTTGATGGAGCTGCAGATCAAAGAGAGGGTGGCGAGCTACCTGGACTCAACGTTCTACGACCTGACAACCGTGACAACTCACGACTGGAAGACGTAAATGCTCACAAGATCCCCTCTCCGCCTCTCCTTATCTCTGTTCCTCCTCATCCTCATCCTCATCCTCATCCTCATCCTCATCCTCATCCTCATCTTCATCCTCCCTCCTCCTCGTCCTCGTGCTCGTCCTCGTCCTCTGCTCTATGTTGATTTTGTTTTTATTTTTGCTTGGTATCAGATACGCAGAAATGAAGAATTTAGCACAAGACAAGTACAGATTGTCCCTCATCGAGACGTATTTGCCGACAGGTGAGATGAAGAGGGCAAGAGGAGGAGGAGAGAAAGGGACAGGGGCAGGAAGCAGCAGCAGCAGCAGCAGCAGCAGCAGCAGCAGCAGCAGCAGCAGCAGCAGCAGCAGCAGCAGCAGCAGCAGCAGCAGCAGCAGCAGCAGCAGCAGCAGCTGATCGTGACGAGGCTGCAGGAACGCTGGACCAGGGGCTGGACGTGTTGGAGATCATGCGGCACATTCACGTGTTCGTTGCCAACTACACCTACCACCTTCATACTCAGGTAGGCGACGTGGCATGGGAGGAGATGGAGGAGAAGCGAGGGTGGGAAAGTGTGCTTGTCCTCGGCCATGCGGACAGTTGAGATGGGAGAGGGGGGGGGGGGAGGAGAAACAAGAGGAAGGGATAACGGGGGTGAGAGGGCTGGAAGGTGAAGCAGGAGGAGTGGGGGCCAGGTGGAGGAGGAGGAATAGGAAGGAGAAAAATGGGAGCTAAGTAGTGGGGAAGGGAAGGAGGAGGAGTCCTGAACTGCGTGCCGTTGTTGACATGTGCTAAGGTTTTCATCGAGAAACCTGGAGAGAACAAATACATCCGCAGCATCGGTATCCAACAAGTCGCCAACTCAATCCGCACCCACGGGATGGGAATCATGAATACGACAGTCAACTACACATACCAGGTGATGATGATGAAGATATTGGTATTGGTATTGGTATTGGTATTGATATTGATATTGATGTTGATATTGATATTGATATTGATGTTGATATTGATATTGATATTGATATTGATAACATTTCATCAGTTTCTGGCTCGCAAGCTTGCTATTATGTCTCAGTTTCTCTTTGACGACCATATCAAGTCAAGGTACATCTCCTCTCATCTTCATCTCAACGTTTTCCTCCTCCTCCTCCTCCCCCAGCCCCTCATGTCTGCCTCATGACTTTGGATTCACTCAGGCTTGTCAAGGATGTCAACTTCTTTCGCCAAAACAAGATGGTGTCTCCTCCTCCTCCTCCTCCTCCTCCTCCTCCTCCTCCTCCTCCTCCT